TGTGTCCGTACGCGTGGTACGACGCGGCCAGGTCGCGCGCCGGACTGCACAGCGCCACGTACAACTGGTTGTCCAGGGCGCGCGCCTGGCCCTGCAGACGCCAGTGCAGGGGGCCGGTCGTCAGGTTGAAGGCGCCGGGGTATACGAGGGCGAAGGCGCCGCGGCGCGCGGCGACGGTGGCCAGTTCGGGGAAGCGGATGTCGTAGCAGATGGCGACGGCGATCTTGCCGTACCCCGGCAGGTCCACCACGGTCACCTTGTTCCCCGGGGACAGCACCTCGCTCTCGCGGAACGTGATCTTCCCCGGGATGTCGATGTCGAACAGGTGCACCTTGCGATGGCTCGCGAGCAGCGCGCCGTCGGGCCCGAAGACCAGCGACGTGTTGTAGTACTTGTGCGTGGTGGGGTCTGGGTCCGCCTCGGGGATGGACCCGGCGACGAGGAAGGTGGCCGTCTCGGCGGCCATGGCGGAGAGGGCGTGGTACGAGGGGGATTGGTCGGGGAGCAGGGTCTCGGCGTATTGCGGGAAGTAGTTGGTGCCGTACGGCGAGTTGAAGCACTCTGGCAAGACGACGAGCTTGGCGCCTGCGCGCGCAGCTTCGACGACCTTGTCCCGCGCGTGCGCCAGGTTGGCCGTCTTGTCGAGGCCGCTGGCGAGCTGGATGCAGGCCAGCTTGATAGGCTGCTTGAGGACGGGCGCGGTGGAGGTGGCCATGGTGCGGGCGGCGAAGGATAGAGAATTAAGTGTAAGGATCTGGGGGCGAGATACGGTCGGCTTGGAGAAGGCTCGTAGGGTCCGTAGGAAGCTTCTCATGGTTTTATCGCATTGGGGAATATACTATGTAAAGCTCAGGTCCTCGGCTGCGAGATCGGGATCTCGGAATTGGAGGTGGGTTCGGCTTGACGCGGGTTTGCGCATCTAATGCGGGGCGGATGTTCTGGATTGGTGCATGGGCGAATATCGGCATATCCAATACTCTCCGTATTAGTGACCTTCAACGGCGATGGCTACCTCCTAGGTTAGGTTATTATATTCGTCATGCTAAGTCATTCTTAGGTATTCCACGGGTATTTTCTTTATTTTCTATTTATTTCCAAATCGTAGTTATTATGCCAACTTACTTAGGTACATTGCAGGAGTAAAGACATCTATTCCCGTACATATATCACTCAGGGGGCATGAACAAATCCCAAGTACCTAATCCAGGCGATCAAAGCCATTGCTTATTGTATTAGTTCAGCATATAAGTCATGATATGCACCCGACAACGCATGTTGAATATAATCAACTAAATCCTTCATGATTCCCACATCACCAATCAGAACTCCTCCCCACCAGTTCCGCCAACTGCTCCAAGTACTTCTTATCCACCTCGTCGAACCCGTTGAAGTCTGCACAGTCGACGTCTATGATAGCTACCAACTTCCTCGCTTCTCCGCTCCCGACGACAATAGGCACCACGATCTCGCTCTTGCTATCCCCGTCGCAGGCGATGTGTCCCGGGAACTTCTCCACGTCGGGGACCAGCTGCGTTATTTGGGTTTCCGCGGCTGCACCACATACCCCTTTCCCGAACGCGATAGATTGGCAGGCGACCTTGCCCTGGAATGGCCCTAGGACGAGCTGGCGTTTTGATGTTGTCGCCTGCGGATCAAGGGTGTAGAAGCCTGCAATAGCGCAGCTGTAAATTCGAGCACTCATACTTAAGACTTAAGAAGCCACAGAAGCATCTTCTGTATTTCGGTATTTTTACTAACCTGCCCAGTTCACCTGGCTGCTTGGGTGAGGCAACGATTTATAAGCATGCCATAAGAGGGATGCGGTGTTGGCAAGATTGCTTCAAGGAGTCATCGGTCAGTCCAACTCCAAAGCCGACGATACCACCGTGATCGAGAGCCGGGAGACATACCATACCTAAGCAGGCAGAAGTATAAGTGTAAGTCTGGTGCTTGAATTCTGAGGGCATGAACGCACCCAGTTTCTCTGGCCGTCAAAGAGACCTTCAGCCTGTAAGAGGACTTGCGTGTAAGCCTGCTCCTTTGTCACGCCCTCGGCAAAATTCGATGCATCTGCATGGACCTGTGAGTATATGTCAGGAGTGAAATTTTAATATGTAGGTAAGCTTAAGGGAAGGGGTGTTTTTTGAGCTTTCGAACCATTTTGTAGCCCACAGTATCACAAGTCTTAAAATCTCGGGATTCCTGGTGGTACCTATATTCTAGTCTTCCCGGTATAGTGTAACCACTACGGATGACCTCACACGCTAATATCCGTATTTATATATAGTTTCAGTATAGTCAACTTAAAGTCCAACAGTAGAGTCGATGACTCGTGAGGGAAAAAGGGTTTTTGCATGTCGAGCGAGCACGCGATTGTTAGCGGGAGGGACCCACTTTGCCCGCTACTGATACCGAGATTAGCCCTACCGGTACCCGAAACTAGGTACCGCTAGCCTAAGTGCATCGGCGTGGCAGCAACGGAGGAGCTACAGGTACGTAGGCAGGCACCTTCCTTAGGTGTATAAATAGGGGGTTCTCCTATATAAGACTTATACGGACGATGAAAGCAAATCACTTACATGAGGAACTTACCTAGGTTGAGCACTTATTTCTTCTTACTACACCTTAATAATATACAATAACTACCTCAAGACATCCCCATCAACACAGCTAACTCGGCCGCATTCTCTCTAATATCAACATTTACCTTATCATTCCTACATATCTTCTTAAATTCCTTCGTCCAGTCCTTCCACCTCTCCAGCATCAACGGTCCCTCATACCGCGTCAAGTAGAAGCGATACAGTTCCTTGCCGGCAAACCGCATCCACACGGCTGCCGAGGGAATATGCACTTCCACAGGCTCGTAATCCGACCTTGAGGCCTTCTTAATAACATAGCACCCCCAGTCCCCTAAAAGCGGCATATCCGCGAACGGGCCACCCATAAAGACTGTCGCGGCAAATGAGTTGATGTTGGTCCATTGAGAGTTAGCAGCCCTTTCCCCGCTAGATTCGGGTCGGCTATATGGCCAACCAGCTGACGCTGTACGGCTGTTAGCACGCGCTTATACTTGTGACGGGAGAGACAAGAGTTGAGTAACGCAGGTAACCTACAATGCCAGTAATCGCTAAACAAGTTCCAGAATCTAGGGAGATCCTGCCACAACTCGGACGCTCTCACTGTCCCAGTCGCATCCATGAAAATTTCCAGGCTGTCTCTTCCGGTGCGGTCGACATGTGGCAGTTTGCTAATGGTATCCAAAAGGTGGGCAATCTTGATGTGCTCCGAAGGCCAGTCCACGATGACATCGATGACAAATCCCCAGAGCTTGCATAGCTCGTCTTTTATTTCCTCGGCGGAGGTTGTGTCAGCAAGGGTTGCTTGGTGCACGTCTGCAGTAATAAGTATTCCCGCCTCCTCGGCTTCTATATCATCCTCGAGGTAAGCCTTAAGCGCGGCAGTCTGCTCTGTGGTCGCCACCTCATCTTGGACCTTTTCGTCAAACCAAGTGTTTGGAATAACGATCATTTCGAAGTAGTTGTATGTATCTGCATGCAGCCTAAGTTATAATTAGACGCTCCGAAAGACGTTGCGGCGAAGTCCTGTATAAATCAATACCCAAGGGAACAACCTCGTATGATACCCAAGCCCGACTATAAAGTCAACTGCGGATACCAAGATGGCAGGCTGGAATACCAAGCTACCAATCGGTAATCAACCGACAGGCCGCTTACTCATGATCTACACGCATATGTGCCTAAGGTTATCCGCTAAACAGCACAGAAGGACCTTGTTTTATTGTAACTTTTTAACGGGGGCCTCCGAGAGGTTGGCCGTATTGGGCTCGATCCTCATCTAACGCTTATTACTAAGACTTCTTAACTCCGCTACAATATCACCGATGGCATTAAATCCTCCGTAGATATCGGAGAGTATACTTCATCTTGGCCTGAGGTTTGCGGGATTCTTTGATAGGAACAGTACATGTTGCGGGTTTTCCGTCTAAACGCCGAATCTCAGCTCTGTACTCATATAAGACGAATCCTTGTGAATAACGGTTTAACTGCAGCTATGGCTTAGAAGTTTGTATATATGTTGGGCGCAATAATAAGGGGCTACTACTATATGAGCGTATATTGACCTTTTGACTACCACGTTTGCGAATGAGGGCTTTTTTTGCATTCTCGTGGTGTACTTTTCAGATCAGAGCATGAGCTGATTTTTGGAACAGTGCATACTTCTATCTGGACGAAATATTTTGTGGTAGACTGATCTTCATATACACTGTTCGTTAATAGGTCTTAGGTTGTAATATACTATTAGAACGCCGGAACAAGCCTAGCAATTTATTGATGTATGTAGTATTCTAATCCTATTTTAGTGGCCCTCTGTTAGCTTAGACTATCCTAGTTATCGTACCATCATGGCGTTAATTTCTATATACCTATAGTTATTTAAAACCGTTGCATCTTCAACTCTTTGAAAATGCAGTGAACACTCAGCTCCCTTATTAAAAAATAGTTTGAAATCAAAACTTCTCTCTTATGCTTGTATGCATATCATACCTTAGCTATTAGATCAAATATCCCTAAGAGTTAAAAGCATATTGCTTTATTTTCTTTTGATTATTTTTACTTAATATCATACGAAAAAGAGACCATGCTCATACTACACTAGAGTTCCTTGGTCCGCGTAACTGTAGTTCTTATGAAATGACAGCTTACTCTGATTAATATGACTCTACGTTTACATGGAATTGACGAGAGACCATATTGTTTTCGTTGTAGGCCAAAATTTGCACTCCAAAGTCATCATACTCATATCCAATGCATATACTAAACTACCTACCTACCAAAATTATATTAAATGTTGAGCTAACAGATGACTGAAGAGAGCTTATATCAAGCACTAGCAAGATTTTTATATCAAAGAAAAACAAGGAATTTACCCAAAAAGCAAAAGTTGAACACTATGTTATATTCAAGCCATCAGATAAAAGGAGCCTGCCGGGATCGAACCGGCGACCTAAGGATCTGCAATCCTTCGCTCGTACCACTGAGCTAAGACTCCACGGGACACGTGACATAGATAAACAGCTGCTTGCAGGTATTTATGTAGCAACGTCTTGGGGCGGGGAGTCTACATAAGTCTTAGAACGACGTACTTAGGCTAAAAAGACGCCATCGTGTAAACTGGATTTCGATTAATACGTCTCATATCTCCGATCTTTAACTCTTCATTACGTATGCATGTACATATATAGGGTAAACAAGGTACATATCGAGCCGGGATGTTCATGTATAAGTTGATTGGCGGCCCGCATGGAAACCCCCGGGATCCAACGTCGTAGTTGCGATGGGTGTTCAGGTTTAAGGATATGCCCACGCTCTCGGAGCCAGATGTCCCGGATAGCCTGTTATTCAGAACTTGCTATCTCGTAATTTTATCACTGCTTGGTGTTTTAGAATGAGTTTCTTTACTCGTTCTTGCTGCTTACTAGATACGTGACTGGTAGCTTGGATGTTCATAGTTCTTACAAAGTCTGAGAGCTGTTAGGTTGTTTTGGGTAGACTACTGGACGCCTATACTATAAACCCCAACCCTGAGATGTGCTATCCGCCTTCACAATGGGCGCCATGACAATACGAACAAGCAGGCGAGCCCTCGTCTCAAGCCCTCGCCTGCGACAGATCGTCCTCATCTCCGTAATATGCCTGGCATTATACTGCTTCCTGCTAGTCCCAGACCACAGCCTCGACTCGTCGCGCCCAGCCATGGCCGATACCTTCCACCACCCACACTCCGCCGCAAACCCCAATCCCGACTCGACGAGCCGGAACAAACCCTCGCCACCCCCCGCCCTCCTCACCAACCGCTTCCTCACATCCGCGCAGTGCACAGCCGCCTTCCCGGGCCTAACCAAGGAGATCGACCATGTCGTTTCCAAAGGGCCCTTCGCGCTGCGCCGGAACCCGCACGGCCTCGGCCCAACAATCCTACGCATCCGCGCCGGCCGCCTCTACATCCTGACCTACGCGCGCAAAGTCGATTTATCAGAAGACATGCTCCAGCACCGCTCCGCAACCCTGCACCAGCTCGCCAACGCGCTCCTCACCGCGCCCCCCGCCGAGCCCCTCCCCGACACCATCCTAGCCTTCAACCACGAAGACGACCCAACATCGCCCTCCCTCTCGTACTCGCGCCCAGCAGACCCGTCTTTCGACGGGCCCAACAAGCACTTCTTCGCCATCCCGCACTTCAGCTTCTTCGCCTGGCCCATCTCCGCCGTGCGCTCCTTCGCGCGCGCCGCAAAGTCCACCGCCGCCCTCGAATCCCGGTTCCCGTCCTGGAGCAGCAAGGACCCCCGCGCAGTCTGGCGCGGCACGACCTGGTTCAACAGCCCGCGCGCCGGCGGCCGTCTGCGCCACGACCTAGTGCTGACCGCGCGGGGAAAGCCATGGGCGGATGTAGAACCGCTCGCCGCGAACGGCAGCAACGCCTTGATGATCGAAGATTTCTGCCGCTACCGATATATCGTGCACACGGAGGGCGTGACGTACAGCGGGCGGTTCCAGTACCACCAGTTGTGCGCGAGCGTGGTTTTGGCGCCGCCCATCGCCTGGATGCAGCATGCCACGCACTTTGCGCGGCCTGTTTTTAGCTACCAGCTCGAGGGCGTGGAGCGCGCTGCTCTTGATGGTAGTAGGAAATTGGTACCGTACCCGGCGCACTGGGTGAAGGATGCTTGGCCGAAGGGGTACGATCCTCGGGAGGCCAACATCGTGTTTGTAGCGCCGGACTGGAGCGATCTCGAAACCACGATTGGGTGGCTAGAGCGGCATCCCAAGATTGCCGAGGGGATTGCGCGGCGGCAGAGGGAACTATTCGATGGCGGGGGATATTTTAGCCCCGCGGCAGAGATGTGTTACTGGCGTGCCTTGCTTCGGGGTTGGAGCAAAGTGGTCCGGACCGAAGGACAGGGCTTCGAAAACCTAGAGGAGATATCTTGGGAGGAATTCAGCTTGAAAGAAATCCACAAGTAGCTTGCCACAGAAAGGATACGTAGCATGGAGGAGAACACGGCCACAATGGTTGGGATATATACTTTCTAAATTTTCTTCATTGATATGATACACCTTGTGATTATTATTTTATATATACACGTATGTGCAGGGCATCTAATTAACCGCTCCTCGCGCTCAGGCTGGCGAACGCATCTGGACTGTGTCGGCCGTTATTCCAAGCCATCTCCATTCCAAGAGTCATGCTCTCTCTGCTCCTGGCACCTGAGGGAACTGGATTGGGATTACTAGGTGCTGCAAACGGCGATGGAGCCGCGGCTGTGTTTGGAACAGGAGTTGCTGGTACATTGTGCATGAAGGGGTTATTACTTCCCGCTAGGGGTGATGATGTGTTTTGTTGCGGAGGTACCTGCGGCTGTGATGGCGGAGCGGCTGCTTGGTTTATCTGCGTGCTGGGCACACTCTGATCTTGTACCTGTGGACGAGCCGGGGCCAGATGGGGGTAGTTAAATAGAGCCATGATTGAAGCGGTATCAGGCCTTTGCGGCTGCGGTTGCTGCTGCTGCTGCTGCTGCTGCTGCTGCTGCTGCTGGTGGTACACCGGTTGAGCTGCCACTTGTGGAGGGGGTTGCGTCTCGTACCACATTTGTTGGGCTGGCTGAGACATCACGGGTGGAGCGGACGCTTGTACGGGCTGGCTCGTCGTGAAGAATGGGTTGCTCGGGTTGCTCATATTGCTCGCATACGCAGAATGTGATGAATTATAGAAATTTTGTTGCGACTGTTCGGGTATCTGATTCAGAGTTGGCGACACGACTCTAGTGGGGGATCTAGCGAAAGGGTTATTTGCGAGAGAGCCCTGGTTCTGGAATGGGGAGGTGTTTAATGAAAGTGTGGGCTGTGGATTTGCAGGAGCTTGTAGGAACGGATTATAGCTTTGCTGTTGCTGTGGAGGTAGCTGAAAATAGCTCTGACTGCTGGCAAGAGAGGGCTGCGTAAAACTCTGTGTTTGTGGAATTGGTGGAGTCATCGGTTGCGAGTAAAAAGGCTGTGACATGGGCTGCGGAGCTGGTACTCCCCCAGTGTGATGTGGGAAAAGTGCCTGTGGAGGAGCCGGTGCTATAGACAAGTTCAAGTTCTGCAAGCTCTGGTTCAAGTTAAAATCGGCTTGTTGGTTCGGCATTCCAAATGGATTTGAAGCATAAAAGGGGTTCCTGTTCTGCAAAGTTCCTGTCGACTGCGACGACTGGGGTTGAGCCGGCTGTATATCCCATGGGTTGTTTGATACGGTGCTGGCTGGACTCCGCGCTGTCGGTGGACTAGACTTCGACAGCCCGATGGAGGGCGCGGCTCTCGGCGTCAACGGTTGAGGCGTTAACGACCTAGATGTTGGAGGAGGTATAGAACTGTCACGACTTGGTAGAGATAACGGGGGTCCTCCTCCACCTTCTCCTAGCCGTACTAAAGCTTCTATTGTCTTTTCAAGGTTACCATTGACACCTTTTAAGATCATAGCATTGCGTTTGTCGTCCGTAAATCCCATATCCCTAAGCTGTGTTAACTTCTGTGCCATATCCTCCGGGGTGTCTTGATGCACGCTGGCTCCAAAGACCTTAGGAGCCTTATTGCGCGACTGGTCAGGACTGCGCGGAGGATCGTGGACGCCGAAAACGCTCTCGCGTGGACGCGTATCCTTCTTGGACCGAAAGGAGAAGAAACGACTACCAGTCTTAGGCGGTAGCGGTGGCGGAGTACCTTCGTCTGAGCTTCCAGTATTATGCTTCTTCGTACCGTTTACAGCCTTCTGTTGCACATACTTGGCCCGTATAAATCGTTCCATGGCGGAATCAGCTTCATCAGCATCGATAGGTATCGGCGGCCTCTTATTCTGGGAATTATAAATCTTGTTCGACGCGTCGTTTCCCACTCGCTTCATACTCTACTAATGTAGTTAGCCAAGACTGAGCGAACCTCATCTCTGGGAACTTCTAGGTGATTCGTACTTCGACTTGATCGTTGGACCAGCTGTCCATACTGAGCGATTTAACTTTGGATATATGGGTGCCCAACTTGCGATGGATGGTGGCGCATCGCATGCAGAGAAAAATACCAAGCTATAACTATATTAGCGTCGAGTTCGTATCGATTTTGTTAGATGTGGATAATTTAGATGACGGCTGAAAATCTATGATGGTAGTGACGGAGGAGGCCTCGAATACGTACGTTCCATGATGCCCAAGCTAGAAGATGCGAGTTAGCTCTGTCAGTTCGATTCTGTATTGTAGACATGGAAGGTATGAAAGGGAATTAGCTTCTACGGGCAACACATACATGGATTTCTTGCTTGACAATCGGCGCAAAAATTATTTCCTGGTACATTATGTACAAGATCCTGCAAGACCTTCTCATTTCGCGCCTGCTGGCGCTTGCTCATGAGCCCTGACATATTTGCGATCGTTTGAATCAGAAATGGATGCTCTCGTGAGCATCGGTCGAGTCCGAGTACGAATCCGGTTGCAACGGCGCCCGGCAGAAAAAAAAAGTTGGGCTTCCGATAAACAACAGAATAGGAAATTCGCGTGGAGGCTGGGAGACGACTGAAGCCGAAGGAGGGTATGTCGCTGTTAGATATAGGTCAGGGGGGTTATTTCTTTCTCAATTTGGATTGGGCCTTTATCAGCTGGAACTGAGCATTGTGATTTGAGAGTTGTCAGATATAAAAGGGAGCGTAGCATGTACACACATGCGTGCCGATACAACAGTGAAATATCTCGACAATTCAAGCTCCAGCTCAAGAAATAGAAGGGGAAGAAGACAAAAAAGGAAACTGGAGAAAGAGTGCGTCCTAGGTCATTTTCGACTCCAAAACGAAGTATGAAGATTGAAGAAAGGATCGACGGGGCGCGCCTAAGACGGGGCTTAAGACGGGGGGGAGTCTGGATCGTAGTGACTTCCACTTAAGAACTGCAAAAGACCCCACATAAAATAAAGGAGGCAAAACGGGAAAAGCACTTCAGTTAAATCAGTTAAACCGGTTTAGCGCCTACC